AAAAAAAAAAAAAAAAAAAAAAAAAAAAAAGGCCAATATATTAGTTACGGCTTAGTATCTGGAAGCTGATCAGCAGGAATACAATGTAGGCCAGAAATGTGTATTACGGATTTAATATTAATCTCTACAATGCACGAATCTAATAATATGCAGAGATATTACATAGAGTTGTTAATAGTCATTTTGTTAAAAAAAAAATTTTAACTTTTAGTTTACCTACCTGTGGGAATGCAAGACCACACCATCTCAGTTAGTTTTACCGCGTAGCAATGAAGTATTCAGGTTTGATAGTTGGGATGCTAATAAAAATTCAAATAACAAGATAGCACTTTCATATTAATATAAAGTATTGAAATTTACTTAAATATATTTCTGTATGGATAGTATTATCAAGTAGCAATCCTAGTAGTTTCACTATTTTGGTAATGAGTGTTACATGCTGTTGCTCATATCTTATCCTATATGTATATGATATCGAAGTGGGACTACATTAATTTACGAGCTATTGGCTTTGGCCATAAGCCATTTTATTGAGCAGCTAATAATATATATATTTTTTTTTGCTTAGATGGGTGGACGAGCTCACAGCCCACCTGGTGTTAAGTGGTTACTGGAGCCCATAGACATCTTCAATGTAAATGCGCCACCCACCTTGAAATATAAGTTCTAAGGTCTCAGTATAGTTACAACGGCTACCCCACCCTTCAAACATTACTGTTTCACGGCAAAAATAGGCAGGGTGGTGGTACCTAACCGTGCGGACTCACAAGAGGTCCTACAACCAGTGAAATTCATTGGGAATGGTAACAAAACGATACTATAGGGATAAGCGGGGAAATTAAGTTCATAAATATACTTTACTACGGATGCGGAGAGTTAGAAGAAAAGTGGTTAAGAATAGTTTCTGTATATTAATTAAAAAGCCAAACTGAAAAGAATTTTGTCGTTGGGCGTCCAGCATTGCGGTTGCTATGTCACCATATTGCCAGAACAAACTGATCCAGTCTCTTTCAAAGTTCGCGAAGAGTTATGTTCAGCAACGCACTTCATATATGCTGGTATATTTAAATGCAACTAATAAATGACTATAGCTATGGTATTAAATTATTTTTTTGGAGAAATCAATGTATAGCGTCAAAAGATTTTTTAGTGTGCGTTTATATAAAATATGTATATACAACAGAGCTTGAGGAGAGTCCTGAGTCATTTCTTGATTTTGTCATTACTGATGTGCAAAAAGGACAGTGCTTATTAGCCATATGGGTAGGTACCACCACCCTGCCTATTTCAGCCGTGAAGCAGTAATGCGTTTCGGTTTGAAGGGTGGGGCAGCCGTTGTAGCTATGCTTGAGACCTTAGAACTTATATCTCGAGGTAGGTGGCGCATTTACGTTGTAGATGTTTATGAGCTCCAGTAACCATTTAACACCAGGTGGGCTGTAAATTCCTCCACCCATCTAAGCAATAAAGAATATATATGCGGCTCTGCACTTTTTTCTTTCGTACTTATTCGCTGGTAGCCTAAGGGCTATTTCAGCTTCGCGTAGACAGATAGGTGAGTTCAGTGGTTCAGTCTGAGAGAATTGGTAACGTTGCCCCTAGCATGAGCAGTGCTTCGCTGATTCTACTACCAGATCGGACAAGTTCAATGAGGACGGTGACCGGTGCTTGTGGGGCCTAAACGTACCAAGATTGATACGGAGGATCCGGCAAGAGACATGATCCTTGCATCGTCATCTGGGCCGGATTTGAGTCTGTACGTTTGTGCGTATGTGTACCGTTTAGCGGTAGGCAGCGGCTTGGCTCTGCCCCTGGCATTGCTGAAGTCCATGGGCGACGGTAACCACTCACCATCAGGTGGTCCGTATGCTCGTATGCCTGCAAGGGCAATAAAAAAAATGTGTTCCTTCGAAGGAAATTAGACAAACTAATCAATGCTAATATTACATATTTTTTGTACATCAGTGTATCTTTATCAACTGAAAATACACTAAGTAGAAACTCAGTAAGCGATAAATTAAAATCATGTTATCGGTATGAACATAATAAAACGATAACATAATTTCCGCAACTAAAATCGATTCGATACAATCGATTAAATAATCAAAAATGACACCGCACGGAATACAAATCAATAAATCGTGATCTTAAAAACGATACAATAATTTCATTGTAACATCTCTATATTGTTCGGTATCAACTTCGTTCTTTTGGTAAAGAAATAAGCAGTATAAATACAACTGATTGTTGGGAATCGGTACATTGCTACACAGACCGAGCGAGGGGCACAGCACCCCAGAACCTAAACCGAAAACAATTAATTATTTGTGAAAGTATTGGAAGGTCAGCCATTTTGTGCATTATGTGGTTTGATAAAAAACAAAAAAAGTTAAACATTTTTAGTGTAATTTTTTTATGTGTTTTCAGTTCGACTGGGGTATAACAATGAAGACTCTTAGGACTTTACTGCTCTGTATGGGTGAGTATTTTAAAATAACAATTATAATTAATATATAGCATATAGATAAACACGAAGCTTAGCTCGTTAACCTATCTTAAATAAATCTTTAGATGATTTTTTACAAAACTAAGCACATAAATGTAAATCAGAAATTTAAGTTTAACCGATTCTCAATTTTTAAATAACAAATCCTATATTCCTTTATAATAATTATATCACGCAAATTAAATTTAAAGCTGCATCAAAAATAATAATCGAATCATGTTTGTATAAAAAATTATATGTGATATAAATAATAAATATTAATGGATTTTTTTTATGACAAATTTAAGGGTTAAGGAAAAATTTAAGATTAAATAAAAAAAACTATGAAATATGAGCCCTGAATCACTCTAAAAAAAACAAACATTTTTGTCCAGCGCAGCAGAGCGCATTTAGATATATTAATTTTAATTAACCCTTTGAAAATCATTCACTATAATGATAATTTTTTATTGTATTGCTCCGAATTAATTAACGCAAGCCAATGTTGCCGTCGTCGAAAAATAGAATCCCGCTCTGGGAGCTTGCTGGTTTATGTAGCCTGTCACTGTACCTAATGATTATTTTTAATTGTACTTCTCCCTGGTGGTAGGACCTCTTGTGAGTCCGCACGGGTAGGTACCACCACCCTGCCTATTTCTGCCGTGAAGCAGTAATGCGTTTCGGTTTGAAGGGTGGGGCAGCCGTTGTAACTATACTTGAGACCTTAGAACTTATATCTCAAGGCGGGTGGCGCATTTACGTTGTAGATATCTATGGGCTCCAGTAACCACCTAACACCAGGTGGGCTGTGAGCTCGTCGACCCATCTAAGTAATAAACAAAACAAAAAAAAAATTTAATTGTATTGCTCCGAATTAATTAACGCAGCTTAATGCCCATTGTGCTAATTATTAAAATCTAAATTTAATTGATGAAATTCGTTTCTAATTCGGTGTAAGCAATGCAACAATAGTTTCAATAAAAGCATCGTAAAACCGATGCGTGCTACAGAAACACATAACTTTTACATAACGTTTTCAAAGGAAGCGTTTATGTATAATACTAACACTAGTTCCTTCCTAACACGAATATATTTTCACGTATCGATGCACATAAAAATTGCTTTCTTTGCTAATTGTTTTTTTTCTGTCATGTAACATTTGCATGATAGTCTCGCGATAGTTTTACGCACGCTGCTTTGTAAACAACGTTTGATTATTGTTTAATTATGTCAATTAAAATTTAGAACTAATAGCTCTGGAATACACTATACTCTCCAATAGAAAATAGCAATTTATAGCAGATCAAACGTAAACCAATTGTTTGACTGTACTCTAAGACCTAACTCCAAAATGCAGCTAAACAGATAATTTCAAGTATTAAGTCGTCCACTGCTTAGAGACTATTCCTTTACCAACACCAGTTACCTCTATTTAGGTTTATATAGCGACTGATTTGACATCTCATTACTGTAGGTCAATCTAAAATTATTTTACACAAATTCAGTGGTGTTAGGAACTCTTCTTGTGAGTCCGCGCGGATATGAACCACCACCCTGCCTATTTCGTGAAGCAGTAATGCGTTTCGGTTTGAAGGGTGCGGCAGCCGTTTTAACTATACTGAAACCTTAGAACTCATATCTCAAGGTGGGTGGCGGCATTTACGTTGTAAATGTCTATGGATTTCGTTGACCACTTAATACCAGGTGGGCTGTGAGCTCATCCACCCACCTATGCAATAAAAAAATTCAAGGAGCAGTTAATTGAAATATCTGTCGTTTAAATACAGTACTAAACTTAGTCAAGTAAAGTCCTTGGATCTACGCTAGGAATTAATAATTAATCTGTTTCGCTTAAATAGACCGTGGTAAAAATGTAACAAGTCAAATGGCAAAAAAGATAGTGAATATTTATATATCTACGTGGATCCTGCGGCTGTAACGTTAAACTGAAGACTCAGCTTTTTATTTTGCTCACCAAAGCAGCTGAAAACGATTTCTCTCAAGTATCTTTGTAAATTTACTGATCGCTTTTGCCAGAGATATCTCAAAATAGGTAGTATCAAGCATAGCGTTCTAAAATGTTAATTATTTTATTAAAACTGTAATCAATAGTAGTTTCATAATTGAAACCAGAAAAAAAACTCTACCCGGATGTTTTAAACTCTAATATTTTCTTTAGGAACCTTATACCTCGCGTCGGCAGCTCCAGTGGCCCGGAATAATTCGCCACAACACGCCGAATATGAATACGATTACGACAGCTCCGCCCAGCAGGCACAGGCGCAAGAGCCTCAAGAATCCGCCAGCCACTACGACGCCTACATCCAAGACGTCAAAGCAGCCACAAGCGGCGACACCAAGAAAGGTTACAGCAGAGGAAGCGGTCTAAGAACTATTGCAGTCGGTTCGGCGAATCAAGCGAAAACAGCGCTTGGAAACCAAGCCGCGGCGGCGTATCAAGCGGCGTATGTGGCCAAGAATACCCTCGCGCAGTCCGCGGCGCAGGCTAGTGCCACTGCTCAGGCGGCGTTGGCAGGAAAGCAGGTCATCCTGTCGGGATTAGAGCAGCAAGTCAGGGACGCCAAGGTTGCGCTCCAAGGTGAAGAAATGCAGTTGCAACAAGCCAAGAGAGCCGCCCAGTCAGCCGCCCAGGCCGCGCAGCAAGCTATGCATCAGGTACGTTGACTTTTAACAAACCAAACGATTTATCTATAAACTAATATATAAATGTAGTAGGTAGCGGCTTGGCTCTGCCCCTGGCATTGCTGAAGTCCATGGGCGACGGTAACCACTCACCATCAGGTGGGCCGTCCACTCGTCTGCCTACAAAGGCAATAAAAAAATCTACGGTGGTTTTTACGAATGTTCCGTTATAACTACTGAAACACGCATCCGATTGACTTGAAGCTTGGTATCCATATAGAAAATACACGTACTTAATGGATAGGCTAATATTTATTGGACTCCCTTATAATAATGACATTAAATAATAATGTTAATTTTAAATGCCCAGCGAAGCGAGCGGGTACGGCTAGTCGACTAATAAAGACAATATTAGTCGATTGTAATACCATTGCCTTCGGGTATAGACATCACAACATATATTTATCAGTCAGTTATGTACGTTGATGTAACTTGAGGTGACAATTCGTTCGCAAAGTTTGACTGGGTTTGTAACATGGTCAGCAGTCTCGTGGGCGATTCTAATGTACATTCGTAACAAATTGTGTTATATTAATCCGTTATTTTCTCGTTGTTTTAGTATGAAAACCTAAAGAATGTTTTGAGTTCAATGAACTCTGAAAAGGACTTGTAGTTTTATCAGGCAAGTTGATTATGTTAAGAGAGGGGATATATCGTTTACAATAACATAGTTTTAAAAAAAAAAGTACTTTAAAAACTAAAAATAAACACGCCTTAATAACTAGCAAGCCGAATTAAAGATAATGTTTTTTTTCTGGTTAGTATATGAGAAATATTCGCATTGTCTTTGCTTCGTGAGCAAATTTTCGTTAATCCAACGTATTGAAGTGAACATTACCTTGAAAGATTCCGTTATAAATACGGATATAAAACTAATCAAGTCCACTATACTATATCCTAATACGTTAATTCGGTGACAAAATTTAAGTAACACTAAACAAAAACAATTTCACCTGGTCATCATTATTATCGATCATTATTATCTGGTTCATACTACATACTATTCTATTTAATACGTCTAAGTTACATACTATTATGTTAATTTATTATATCCTCCAAACCGTGACGAATTCAGGTTGCAGCGTGGCTTTAAACAATATTAAACTAAAGGATTTTTGATTTATTGATATTTTTGCCAATTTAAAATTAAAGATCACATCATTAAATTTAGAATAGACTTATTAAAAAAATTATGTGGAAAATTAGCATGAATATTACTTAAATGTTTACTTCATATCTTAATTATTATTCTTATTGATTGTGTTTAAAAGTTAAATGCTCGCATAGAATTTAATTTGTATGAACAAATTTTATTTCACTCACCTGAACAATCATATTATGTGTGTAATTAAAAGAAAATTTTAAATGTAACTATACTTGAGACCTTAGAACTTATATCTCAAGGTGGGTGGCGCATTTACGTTGTAGATGTCTACGGGCTCCAGTAACCACTTAACATCAGGTGGGCTGTGAGCTCGTCCACCCATCTAAGCAATAAATAAATAAAAAGTCCATTTGAATTCAAAAGTCGATTCTCCTTTTAATATCGATGACGAAAACACTACTCCACACAAATCGATTCGCAATCGATATTTAGTAACAAACGTCTTGTCAGCTGTAAAAAAAAATCGATTTCGCATTCTTGAGAAAGATCGGCGCTGTGACTAATAATGTTGAAATTATAATAAACGTAAAATTAACGAAAACAAATCTTATTTAACGTTTGGTAATTTATTTTATTTCAGTAACATAACGAAATTAAAAATGGCGTCACGTGATTTAATGTGTAAACTAAATATAAAAAAAAATCTGGTCATAATTTTCGAAGCAGAAGGCTTTTTATTATTACTTATTATAAATGTTTCATAACCATAAAAAAGATTTCAAAAAAGGTCGCTCGATAAATTGGATATTCAGTAACTGTTGGATAATCGAGTAGTTTTCTCGTAATCCCACCATTATTGTAACGATGTTATGAAAATATTATTCTATTGGTGGTCAGACAAGCGCACGACTCGCCGTCATCATCAATTAGCTTTAGCACATTCGTTTTTGGAACGAAGTTCCTTATGGGACGATGCGGAGGGATACCTTATTTGGAAAAAATCGTCCGTAACGTAAGATTTTTATTAGTAATGCACACAGTGTACGACTTAACTTTGTAATAACGTACTAAAAATAGCATATTTTTTATCATTCAATGACCACGATCTCAGAGCGTTCGTTTGCGCAATACACTAACTCTTTTGCAAACAACCAATGAATGAAGTGTACCACAATAAGTTCGCACGTTACCGAATGACCGTGGGTTGTTGCGAAACCTCCAGTTTTATTTCCGTTATACCTCGAATAGAACTTAAAATTAATATTTTTATAATAAGGAATTTCGTTCCTATCCGGTGTCCCACGACACCACACATCTTTATTTTTATTGCAACCGTAGACAGACGGCCCACCTGAAGATAAGTGGTTACAGTCGCTCATAGACGTCAGCGATGCCTAGGGCACCGCCCAGCAGCTGCCTACCATAACATTAATTACCACATCGTGAAAGTGATTTGACGTGGATGTCTCAAGTTTATCGGCTATCTTCAGCTATGAGTCGAAACGCACAGGAGTAGTAACCTTCTAGATTACGAGTAAACACATTTAATTTACCTATTAGGACTGTGAGTCTGGGCGTTGATACCTATTACTATACGTACCTGTGTTTTGCCAAATAATATGTCGAATCTCTGCTGTTTCAAAACAATTTGGTCTTCGTTGTCATGTGTCAATGTCTATGTCATATTAGGTCCAATTCCCAGTTGTCAAACTACCACCGGCTAAATTCTAATTAAAACATTTTTAATATTAGAAATCACTGATTCGTGAACTTTTCTTTTTGTTTAGGTCAGTTTTTTTTATTATTATATCAATTGTCACGCTCCAATTAATAATGTTTGTATAGATATTTACACAGTGGGTAATTCGTTTTGTGTAATCGCCACTATAAGACGTTTTTGTGTATTTTAATAGAGGTCATTTTTTGTCTTCACAATTGCCAATTATTGTTGGACAATAACTTTTATAGTGATAGAATCTTGTTGCTTTGAATTTGTCTGTTTCCGTTTTTACATTGTCTGGTGTAAATTCGAATCTTTCCCACTTCTACTTCACGCTGAGAGGGGATTTTGGTACCAAACCTTGTGAATTCAACCTTCCAAATATGACAGCTCTCTTGTTTGACCAGCTACCAGATACAATCAGCATTTAATGCTAAACGGCCGTCTGGTGTAGTGGTAAGTGACATGGTCACTACACAAGGGGGTCGCGGGTTGGAATCCCGCCAAGGGAAGATATTTGTATGATAAATATAAATGTCTTTTCCAGGGTTATGGATGTATATTAAATATATGTATGTGTATAATAAAAATCTTACATTTATATCCGTTATCTGGTAACTGTAACACAAGTTCTTTACGAACTTATCACGGGACCAGTTAACGTGGCGTGATTGTTAGTAAATATTTATTTATTTATTAAAAAAAAAAAATACAGAAAAAATAAAAATGCGCTTTTACGCGAACCATTTTGTTCTTGTTTAAGTTCGTTTCTATGGACTCTGGAAATATTTTATGCAAGTCGGCTGTTATTTCATGTGCTCGCGTTGAGCAGCGCACTGTGTAGGTACTTGTTTAAGTTTCGTGCAGATTTTAGAACATAATCTTGTTCGGTTTAATGTTGTCGAGCTGATTCCAAGTAGTATCGGCATAGCATACTACCGGGAGCTAATCGCGGTATTCTACTATATCTTTGCAATCCTACAGGGTTTTTGTCTGTAGATGCACAGTCAAATTTACCTATCAGAACCTCCAAGAGACCTATGACCGTTCCAACCTTTCCGAAAACAGAGGGGTTGATAGTAACCACGACTTATTTGACCATCATCGTTTTTCCTTTCTTTTAAGTTCTAAGTTGAAATCCGGACGATTGGCTTGTTTGATCATTAGAGAAACAGAAAGGATACAATAAAAAAATAAAATATTCCGATAAACATTTATAGTATTTATTAGTTAGTACTTGTGTCGGTCTCTTTCTGATTTGATTGCATCGACACATAACGCTGCAGCACACCTTAAGATGTCCAGGTCTTAGTTACAATTGTACACAACATCTGACCAACTCCTGAAAACTACTTAGACAGGTGGTACCAACCAACTTTGGCCAGCTACAAATATGTCTAAGCATCAGTCTCAAATATTTTTTGAATTTGGAAGGAAATTTACGGGAGCTCCAAGTGTCAGTCTGGCAAGGTCTTGCGCAGCGCCGGGATGAATGGCAAAGTTTATTGTCGGAGGCCAAGACCCACTTCGGGGTCATAGCGCCAGCTCAGTAGTAGTAGTATCAGTCTCAAAAGCTATGCGTCCTCTACAGATTAAAGGTTTAATCTCTGATTCTATAATTTATTTCGTGCAAAGTGGACTTATGTAGACCAATTACAATTCGATTAGACCCTTACCTCATCAAATCTATTGCTTGTTACCTTTATCTTACATAATTGCGTAATTACTGGTGGTAGGACCTCTTGTGAGTCCGCGCGGGTAGGTACCCCCGTCCTGCCTATTTCTGCCGTGAAGCAGTAATGCGCTTCGGTTTGAAGGGTGGGGCATCCGTCGTAACTACACTTTAGACCTTAGAACTCATACCTCAAGGTGGGTGGCGCATTTACGTTCTAGATGTCTATGGGCTCCAATAACCACTTAACACCAGGTGGGCTGTGAGCTCGTCCACCCATCTAAGCAATAAAAATAATAATAATAATAACGTGGGGTGGTGTAACATGTCCTCTTTTTCCATTACTATGAATACCAGGGATTTGGTATAAGTTTTATGACCGCAACCCGAAGTCAAACCTTGCAGGTGCTATTGTTGTAACCTCAACAAGTACATGTTAATAAAGCTATCATTTTCCTTCCAGGTGAACGTGATCCAAGCAGCCCTGAACGCAGCCCAAGCAACATCAGAGAACGCCAACGAAGCGGCCTCCCAGGCGGCAGGTGAATTAGGAGCTCAGACCGCCATGGTTGGAGCTGCAAGGCAGAGGCTCCACACTCTCCAGGAACAGTTGCACGGAGTCAGAATCGACTTCGAGGCAACGCAGTCGGCTGCTAGAAAGGCCCAGGTATGTCGAAAGCCAAATTAAGCACAAATCTTTGTTAGTGACATGTCTTATTAGCGCCTTCCCGGTCACCGTCCTCGTCGAACCCGTCGCGACGAAGGGCTCGACGAGCCCTATTAACCCATAGACACAGCCCACTGAGTTTCTAGAGGCCGGATCTTCTATCAGTGGGTAGCGTTTCCAATCCGGTGGAAGATTCTGCGAAGCACTGCTCTTGCTAGGGTCAGTGTTAGCAACACTGCGGTTTGAGCCCCGTGAGCACACCTACACACGTTAGGGCGAAGCTGAAATAGCCTCTCCAGACTATCAGCATAGGTAGAAAAAAAAGCGCCGGTGAGAAGACGAAGGAGAGCCCTTCTTCGAAAAAGAAGCACGACACGATAATCCTCTTTTCTTGGTCGCCTCAATCGCCCTCTGCACCTCCGATTGAAGGGACGAAAGCTGCCGTCGCCTTAAGCATGTCCTATCCTTCCGATCCACTCTAGGTGCTTTTAAGCACTCAATCACTGGTGGCCATTCTCGTCGAATGTTGAATTCGACGCGCAACCTAGCCCATAGACACTGTCTTCTCTAGTTTCTTGGAGGATGTTCTCAGTGGGTCATGATTCCGATCCGGTACACCGATTTTGCTAGGGCCAATGATAGCGATTCTCTCAAACTTAGCCTGTGAGCTCACCGGCCTGCGCTAGCCCTAGTTAGAATTCAGGCTATCAGCAATAAGGTAAAGAAAGAAAAAGAGAGCCGGAAAAGTTCTTGAATACAGTTACGCTAGTACATAAACGAAATTTTCTCATTGTGAGACCGTCATAAGGTCTTTTAAATAGAGAAGCAAAATAAACATGTAAACGTCGGTCAGCCTATGAAATTAGCAACAGCATAGGTACACCTCTAAGCAGTAGATAGCTAAGCACAGATACCTAAGTTCTTTCATTAAATATAAGTACAATTATTTTTAAAAACAGGAGTCAAAGATGGCAACAAGGATGTACGTTGTAGAGGATATACGGATTTCAATATTTTTCTAAAGTAAAAATTGCACTTTATATAATTTACATAAGGCTTTCTATTGTTCAACTGTTTCTGGATTCGAATGTTTAATAAATTATTTTGTTCATGTTAATTATTTTCTTTCAGTTATATGTACACCTTATGCAATAAATGGATAATTATAGTTTAATTGCAATGAACTGGGCAGAATTTGATTAAAGACTCGACACATTTTGACAAACAGTGACATTTCGAAAAAGTTATTTAGTTTCAACTTACATAAGTCAATGCTGAATATTGTACATACCTAGCACTGCTTCTGTATTCAATTTAGCCAACATAAAAATCTCAACCATTTTACCATTTATTTACTGTTGTTTGTCGTATTTCACGAAAACCGACTTTGAATAGATTGGTTTGAATAAATAAAAGACAATAATTTATTCAAAAAAGTATGTATATTGAAAATGAGTCTTTATAGCTATGCGACATTAACGCATCGAATTAATTCAATTCAATAGGCCGCGGCACAACAAGCTCAGGCAAACGCTGCGGAGGCTGCAGCCAAAGCGGCAGCCGCTGGTCTTGGATCCGGGCAGCATCACGACGCCTCACACGAAGGTACGAACCAAAAGGAGTACAAGGTAGCCCCCGGGCAGGACAGCCAGGAGTACTACTCAGAGTCGGACTACCAACACCAGTAGCAATAAGGTTTTAGGTGCTATAACCTATTACGGCGGTTATACATTTTTTGACAGATTGACAGTTTAGTTTTGAACGTTGGTATAATGCAAATTTCGTAATGATGTAGGTTAGATCTCTTAAGTATTTGTTTTAACCTATGTAGATCATTTTTAAAGAATTAAAGAAAATAAAAGTTTACACATCAAATGTCATCGTTACTAATTTTTAAGTCAAAAAACTTGTAAACGCCGTAATATAAAAAATAACCAATTAGAGTAGAACAAAATATCTTAAAAATTTATTTATTCCATCTCTTTAAGATATTAATGTACCTACTTTAATTGGGTTAGGTAGATTAATTAGATGTAAATACAATGTCGTTGTTGTAATTTAGATCTTGTGATACGATATGTTTTGTAACATATATTTTTTTACTTTTATAAAAGAAGTTATTTATAATCGCTGAAAGTTTTTTTTGTGTGTGTTTTTTTTAGAACCGCACATTTCAAACCTAGGCTCAATAAATTTACATTAAGATACTGTGTGAAATAATGCGACATGACCGAGTCATTGAAAACAGAAAATCAACTTGAAGAAAGTTTCTTATTAAAACAAAAATTTATTAAATTTTCAAAGTATCTAATATGAAATGACGATGCCAAGTCGTGTCGTAAACACAAGCAGCATCCAAAGTGTCATCACTAACATTATAATAAGTGCGATGTCATTCAGGTGAAAAACACAGAGATGTTATAAGAAATAAAACGTTACTGTTACTATGTTTGTTATTTCAATGATGACTTGACTTACTGACTTTCGACTCGACTGTTGCTTCCGACTTGACATCTCACTTTTACTTGACTAATTTCACTCGACTATTATCTATTAATATACCTACTAACCTTAAAGATTTAAGGACAAAACCAACGACTTGGTAAGTTTGGTAATGGACCAATACAGTACACACTAAGAATGCGCATTTCTTCGATGAATAGGTGGGTACTTTTTAAAACAGGAGAAAGACTACTTATCATATTACGCAAAGTAGGTAATGATGTACTAAGTCAGACTTATTATGGCTAATTTTATCTCTGCTGTACTTACTGTCTCGTACCGTGCGGTACTTGCTCCGCAATTATTACAATTAACAGGTTAAGCACCGAGATTTTTTAACGATTTTTGCCAAAAGTAATTAAACTTATGGATAAAGAACTACTCAAAAAAGCTATTCCTGCTTTTAGTTATTTGATTATGCAATTATATTGTCGAATAGTCCCCCTTCAATATGTTATAGCTACTAGCCTAGATGAGCCATAGCGGTCCGCGTTTCTTACATATTCAATAGAAAACTTGCGGTCAAAGCAAAGTAATAGTATCAACCCACAGGGACCGTTCCGGTCCTTAACCTGTTAGAGCACGAGCTATGAGCACGATTATTTGAGGAATCGATCACTGTGTAAAGTAAATCGTTAAGTGTACATTTTTCAATTACAAATAAAAGAGAGGAATATAAAGAAATACTTCACATGTGCTTAGATAATACTCCTGAAGTATCGTGTCGATCCTTGTTTATCACAACATTTATGTTGCAATAAATTGCAAAATAAAATTACGACTATTTAATAACGTGGACAATGACAAATAAAATACACTATGCACTAGAGGGACATTAATATGATTGACAGCTGCATATAGAATAATTGACTAACATTTGATTTGCCTTATCTCAATGAATAATGTAACAACCTGATTATTTTTTAATGAAAAACACTATTGTAAAAATATAATACAAATGCACAACTTGGAACAAATTATGACCAAAAAAAATCGGCATCAGATACCTAATTAAGAGGTCTATGAAAAGGTTTAATCACACGTCTATTCCTAACTTAAATCATCCGCTTTCATACTTCTGCTTTATCTAAGTAACTTCGTCGCTTTCTTTTCGCTTCCATCGCCTAAATACGAATCGAAAAGATTCGTTAAGCGACCTCTTTCCATTTTCCAGAGAGGTCCAGACCCGCAAAGCGTCTCCAAACGAAAAAAGCTAAACCGATTCAACTCAAAAACCAAGATACACCGTCTCAAGCAACGAAACCAAAAAAGCCCCTCGTTCTAGACCTAGCTCCTCATTCGAAACAATATCATTTCAAACAGAACAGCTCTGGTAATGGAGTAATCCACCAACCATTAACTTCACCCAAGAACAATAATCAGAACGGGTCTATAAAATCTAAAACAAAGAAATTGGATAAGCCGATTTCTTTGGAGAAGGTCTTCCCTGATACCTATGTAAATTTAGATGAGTTTTAGAATAGGCGTAGTGACGGGCAGGGATCTTCAGATTTGAGTTGGTATACCTGTTCAGTGGAGGAAATCAAAGGTAATCAAAAGCCCTGGAAAGCCTGTAAGCGCATCAGCCTTCCAGGCAATCTCATGTATCCTACTTATTTTAAATTGAAATTACGAACTTAGATATACCTACTTCTAATAATATTTCTGACCTACTTAAAGCAAAAGCGGTAGTTGTAAAATAGCGGGAAAACGCACGAGAAAAACGCGGTAAACATTTTTTTTATAGATATCTTAATAACATGTCCATCCTATATAATTTTATAAGTGTATCTAAAAATTGTTTAATGATTCTTCAAGAAAAGTAGCAAGTGCTGCATATTCTTTTAGCACATGCCGTAGATCTGGTTAGAATAAGTAATATTTTCAAGTAACTGCATTCTTGTTAAATAAAAAAAATACGGTAACGGTAGGCAGCGGCTTGGCTCTGCCCCTGGCATTGCTGAAGTCCATGGGCGACGGTAACCACTCACCATCAGATGGGCCGTATGCTCGTCTACCTACAAGGGCAAAAAAAAACTGAAAGTAAAAAATAATATCAATTTTTTTTATGCATAGATTAGCCCTTTGGGACACAATTTTTTGCTGAAGAGAAAATAGCATCAAAAACGTCAATGACAGTATATTGTATTGCGTTTCGTTCTAAACAGTGGCTAATATAGCTAACAGCTATAAAAGAACGGCTTCGCAGTATACAGGGGCGTCTTAAACTAGGATGGGGCCCTTGGGCACACAAGAATTTGAGGCCCTTTTGGAAAGTAAAAAAAGCGAATTATAGGAACATTTTTTACTGAGTTCATGACCATTTATTATAGGTAATCAAATACAGTTTGATATAATATGTCATTAATGATATTAGAATGCTGTTGGTTTTTTGGTTACGATTTCGATAACGGTTTCTTTCGGGATTTCTGTTGAGCAAAATCTTCTATTATAGGCATAGTATATGCCTTCAAAATACCTTCTGATTACTGATTTGTGAAAAAAGTGTAATGTGCCCGACAAAAATGTTTTGAGAATAAACGTGTGAGAGAAATTGTCGGTATTTCGGGGCCCCCTGAGAATGGGGGCTCTGGGCACGGGCCCCGTGTGCCCTTATGGTAAAGACGGTATTGGCAGTATACTAAATTGACGTCAAACCTTACAGTGCTCACAGTGCATATCGGAACATAGCCTATGTAATACTATTTACATACGTTTTTAGGATTATTTACAAAACTGTTTCTATTGTAATGTTTCGAAGCCTCGTTTTAACAATGCGTAAATTAAAAATCACCGAGAGTATTTAATTATTTCTAAGCTGCTAGTAGCTACCAAGTATATATTTGTGAATATTGCCATAAGCAGAGCCCATTCGAAGCCTTGCATCAGTTGAATAATTAAAACAATTAAAATGACAATTGGTCCCTCCGGAATCCGGTTACTGCACTGTTGAAGGTTCGCATAAGGACAATAAAAGCCAAGTCGTTTGAAGAGAGATATGTCATGGCGCCGCGGAACATCAAGACGTTGGTACTCAAAGGATTAGGTATAGAGTTAAGAAGAACTGTCGTATATGTGGAGCTATTTTCTTTTAATGCTTAGATGGGTAGACGAGCTCACAGCCCACCTGGTGCTAAGTGGTTACGGGAGCCTATAGACATCTACAACCTAAATGCGCCACTTACCTTGAGATATAAGTTCTATGGTCTCAAGTATAGTTTTTGGAACGAAGTTCCTTATGGGACGATGCGGAGGGGTAGGAAAAGGTATCGAGTATAGTTATAACGGCTGCCCCACCCTTCAAACCGAAACGCATTACTGCTTCACGGCAGAAATAGGCGGCAATAAGGCTTTGTAGCAGTTATAAGCGGAACGAAGTAGGCTGAATGAAAAAAAAATTTAATATAACTTTTAGTTTTGGGGCTATGTTTGAAATTAAGCTACATGCTATAGTGGCGCTACCTTAATTGGTCGCTTTTCGACGGAAGTTTGACTTTTTGGCGGGGAAGCGAGGAGTATCTTTTTTTTGTTAATTATATAAGTTGTCTGCGGTTTAAATATTAATAACGGTTACTAAAGCCATTTAGCATTTGTGAAAATGCACAAGCGTGGGAAAATGTCGCTAGACGAGGCTTTTCGGGTTTCTCGCAAGAAGCCTATTATTATATGTAGGTACGGTATTTAAAAAGAAGAAGAAAACGACACTTTTTACCTCTACTGTCCTCTACTCTCCATATGGTAGGTTAGGTTAAAAAAAACATACAAGCAAAGGTTTCTTAAAAAAACAGTCGAATTTCGAGGAGGCAATGGGAATACGAAACATCGACTCCAAGTTTTTACACAGATAGTATCAGTATGCGCTGCAGTTGTGCCTTTAGTACTATAAATTAATAATTATAAATTATAAATTAAGAAACCATTAGAATAGTAGAAAACTAACACCACATTTCTCAGCAATAACAAAATAATCTTACCCACACCAGTTTCTAAAGTTAACTATAACATTAGTTATATACAGTTTTCTAAATTTTGATCGATAAAATCAAAAACTCTGTATTAGGAGTTAGTTACAGGTCATTTTCCAAAAAAAAACTTTCGGTTGCGGAGTAATCATGCCTTTAGTCGAAAAGATCATAATATAATATCCGATAACAATGTTTCCCACGTCTCATGACCTCATGTCTTAAGATTCGTATTCAGCTATTGTATGTCAGCTATTGTACAGTATGCTTATTATCTTTATAATATAATCCATTACCTATTTGACATGCTTAACGCTAAGTGAGCTGTGAGTTAGTCAAACCTTTTTTTTAATGCTAAGATCATGACAGATAAAGACATGGGAGCAGAAAAATAAAGACTTTTGTGTGCATTTTTATTATTTTTAAAAACTTATACGATGATATTTCAGAAGTAGTCAAAGAAGAACAGGCAGAAGAAGAAGATTGCGAAGAAGAAGAAGAAGAAGAAAAGTAAACAGCATTCCAAACAGCTAATTGCCATTTTATTAAATTGTTTTATTTTGTGTAGCTAATAATTTCGTTGTTTTTTTATTTATATTAAAAGTGTAAGAATAAATGTGAATACGTATTGTGTTAACAAATTATTTTTATATACCTATTTGTCCCTCTATTCTGCATTTATTTTTATTTATCAATCATCATTTAACAAATCTTAGAAAAACAAAAGTCTCCTTTTTCAAAATATAAAAAATGTTTCTATTATATATTTTATGAAAGAAATCAATGAAAATTCAAGCCCCTAAAATACAACAGGTGCTCAAGACGCGAGAAATAGTTTTCACTGGCAACAATTTTATCAACAACAAATATACGTTACACCTAAATGTTGCTAGTATAGCCCACTGAGTTTCTCGCCGGATCTTCTCAGTGGGTCGCGTTTCCGATCCGGTGGTAGATTCTGCGAAGCACTGCTCTTGCTAGGGTCAGTGTTAGCAACTCTCCGGTTGAGCCCCGCGAGCTCACCTACTAACGTTAGGGCGAAGCTGAAATAGCCTCCCAAGGCTATCAGCATAGGTAGGAAAAAAAATATGCTAGTATCTATTAAGAGGGACAATGAGCATTTAGGCCGTGGGTTTTTGGTTATTTTACTTTGTGTCAGTACGGCAATCGACTCCTTACTTTGAAATTAATGATAGTGTTCAGTTTTAATTTGTATTAGTTTAGTTTATTATTTTTGTTATTGTTTATATGGGTGGACGAACTCACGGCCCACTTGGCGTTCAAAGGTTACCCGAGCCCATAGAAATTAACAAGGTAAATACCGTTACGAAATGAGTTCGATGTGTCAGTTATTATACTACAAGTGATGTCCCACCCTTCAAACCGAAAGGCATTACTGTTTCACGGTAGAAATAAGTAGGGGTTGGTATAAAGGGCGGACCAAAACTCTAACCAGACTTTTTAGGGATAATTCTGGCTTCACAGAAAGTCTAGGTGAAGAACTCAGTGGATTGTGTCTGTGAGTTAAATTGCCGGTCGAATCCTTTCCCGTATTCGACGTGTTCGACAAGAAAGGGGAGCGGTGCTTGGAATGCCTAAAGCACGGAGAGTGAATCCGAAATGACGCGTTGATGCCTTGCTTAGTACAAATTTATTTTATTTTATTTTGCTTCGATAATAAATTTTACGTTTTTATTTTAAGAAATTTGGCTGTATGAGAAGTGTTCGCTTGCAAACAAAAAAAAAAACTCACACTTCCTTTAAAACGCGCTTTGTCGCGTGAAGTTTTAGAAACAGAAATATTATTATTTGTTGAAAATGACGGAGACTAAGAAAAAGAAACATGTATCGAAAAAAAATAAAAAAGCGTGGCGGAAACACTGTGATATTAAAGACGTTGAAAATTTCCTGGAAGATCAGCGATTAGAAGAGAGACTAGGGTGAGGTTATGTTGATGTGATATTGTTCACTATTTTCGTTTAGAAGACCAAAAAAAACATTGAAACTCTTAACTTAACCGAATTTAATACCAATATTATCGTCATAAAAAACCATAGGATTCATACAATGCCTAGCACATGCATTTTATCGTGATTCTATTTGCATTTTTCAAATTCAAATAAATTATATTAACAAGAAAGGATCTTCTTCTTCTTTAGTTTTTGGCTAAGGCACGGTTTGTGCATTAGTCAGCGTCAAATAATAAGATTTTTATAATTCGCCGTTTTAATTATTTCAAATTTATGAAAATAATAAAAAACGAAGGAATTTAATCAATTGGCGTGAAATTAAATGAAATGATATGGGCTGAAATATAATCTCAGTAAAATGGTTCAGTAAAAAAATCTCATTTACCAAAACTTTCACTGAACTTTTTGGAGGATCTCGAGAAATTATGTTCAGCAGCTTTCCCACATTTGTGAACTTTCACAGATACTAAACAGCAAATAAACCACTGTTATTCCATATTTAAACCTGCAGAAACACTATATAAAATTAAACAAATCACAATAATAATAATAATAATAATATTTATTCATTCAAGCCTCTTAAAATACAAACACGTACAAAAATACTTAACACTAGTATAATAATATACATGGCTTTTTTATGAGGTGCTTTAACTTCACTCCTCGCGTTCCTGCCAAAAAGTCAAGAAAGGATCCAAAATAGAAAACCTAAAAATTGCATGTAGAGGAAATTAAAATATAATTAAAAAGACTTACTATAATCTTTCAGTAAATTTGAAACTAAACCGGACAGTGAGATCTTCATCATAGACACGGGAGGAGATGGTATCAAAACTAAAGATGAAGACATTAAGCCTATATCATTAAAAAAACTAAGAAGAAGTAAGCTAGGGGAATTCCCTAAATGCTTTGAAATTTTACTACCCGATTCAAAGGTACATAATGTTAAATTAATAGTTATTTAATAGTGAAACAATTGTATACTCAGAATCAGCTAACTATAAGTGCAGAAAGACTAAGGCAGGTTTTTCATGTAAAATATGCAATATTATTATGATATGGTTCATATTCAATGATTTAACTCCAGAATTATCATGAGTTCCGATCTGGTTCACAAGATGTATAGCAAAGCTTTTATTGTAAAATTCCATCCAGACTGAAAATTGAATTTTGGCCAGTAAAAGTCAGGATTATTAAATACTAGATGAGTTGAACAATCAAAATATTTTAAGTAAAGCTATGTTTCTCGATCGAATTATGTGATTGTATGTTAATAGTAGAAATTGTAAATTTAGTTTTTTGTATCATCAGGTGCAAGATCCAAATACAAAACGAAATACCGTAAAACCAGTAGGTTCCAAGCCGACGGCCTTCAGTAAGTTAACTGATAAACGAAAATATGAGAAGGGTATTTATCAGAAGAAAATAGAAGATGCACGCAGGAACAGGAAAATGGCATTGCAAAAGAAGAGGCGGGCAAAACAAGTGCGACAGAATTTCAATTTGGACCTTTGGGGCAAAGATTGTAAGCTTACTGAATTATTTTACCACTATATTTCCCACTGTGGTTATTTCATTTATAGTTTGGATAGGATATGCATTTGTATCTGAAATCTGTTTTAGAAGTCGTCGTTGCCTAAAGGATAAGACGTCCGGTGCATTCGTATGTAGTGTTGCACCGGTGTTCGAATCCCGCAGGCGGGTAACAACTTTTCTAATGAAATACGTACTTAACAAATGTTCACGATTGACTTGCACTGTGAAGGAATAACATCGTGTAATAAAAGTCAAACCCGCAAAATTATAATTTGCGTAATCACTGGTGGTAGGACCTCTTGTGAGTCCGCACGGGTAGGTACCACCACCCCGCCTATCTGCAGTGAAGCAGTAATGCGTTTCGGTTTGAAGGGTGGGGTAGCCGTTGTAACTATACTGAGACCTTAGAAGATGGGTGGTGCATTTACATTGTAGATGTCTAGGGGCTCCAGTAACCACTTAACACCAGGTGGGCTGTGAGCTCGTCCACCAAAATAAGCAAAAAAAAAAAAAAACAAGACTGGTTGATTGTTGGTGTATTCATTGTTTGTCCACTATTTATTGTCTTTATAACTCAATTCTTCACTAAATAATTTTATAGCATAACGAACAAGCCTCAGTTATATTGAAGTTATGGAGAAGCTTAACAAAACAGGTTTTCATTAACTGTTTCACGTATGAATCAACCCAATTTTTTATTGAAGTCACAGTAACATAAACAAACGAACTAAATTGTTTTATAATCTTAAGAAGGGACAAAACTGATTGCTTGGTATCACCATCTGTCTCTTACTGCTCTGATACAGCCGTTTGTACCATTTTTAAAGGTTTTGGGACAATAGTCATACAATACTGACTGACATTCAGGGTCACAACCCTGAACCTCCTTCTTTTTTGAAGTCGGTTAAATAGGAGCTATATCTAAAATCAATCGAATATTTTTGTGATTTGACAGAGATTATGACTCTACTAGGTATAAATAAAGCAACATTTCTATCAACAGTACCAGATTCCAAAACCATCCCCTCAACATTATGCGATGAGTTCATTCCTCCACAAGCTCAGCTGCACAATGTGTTACCAGAACAGCGTCTTCGACAGAAGCCTCCACTTGCCCAGACTCTAGTGACTCGTGCCGCTGTAGATGTTCCACACCCTGGAGTCAGCTATAACCCATCATATCAGGTACTAGCGACCCGCCCTCGCTTCGCTTCGGAAACTGTAATTTATTATTGATTTCTCAACTATTTAATGGAGGTTATTATACATATAAACCTTCCTCTTCAATCACTCTATCTATTAAAAAAAACGGCATCAAAATCCGTTGCGTAGTTTTAAAGATTTAAGCATACATAGGGACAGAGAAAGTGTAGTGATTTAGTCAAATGTGTTGGCAAACATATTCATAATACAAATATGTTAATTGAAGTGGCAGTTGCTACAATTTGTGAGAACCGAAAATATAAAATGTTGGTTTTGAACTAGTAATCGCTTTATTCATTAAGTGTAACCTATTTAACTTCTGGTTTACTGGACAACATTTGAAGCACAGCTCGTTAGCTAGTGATGTAAGGAAACAAACTCTAAATATGTATACAGTCAAAACCGTTTACTGCGACATCGTTTAGAACAACATGCCGGTTATAATAACCTAGAACAAAGGTCCCGGCTGAATGCCATATGACCGCCTTATTAAAAACATTGCTTCATACAACATTGCTAATAATGACATACCTCATAAAATGACCACATTTAACTAATATTTCGGAGAATTAGATCTGTTAGAACGACCGGCTAAGCTGTATTGTAAACTATTTGAATAGGTATCCACATTTATCTTCAATGGCTATTAAAATCAGGAAAGAAAACAATAGGATTTAGTTTATTGTAGGGTCTTTCCTAATTCTTAGAAACAAAACACGTGCATGCAGTAGAGCCAAAGCCCGCTTCTTCATATCTCTTCAGTTAGTTTGTTACTTATCTATACACAAGACGCACCAAGGCTTTGTGGAGTTATTCGTGAAACTCTCAAAATGTCGCAAAGAAAATATATTTTTCCAATAATTCCGTATCGATTTGTTTGTACTTGCACTATACACATTCAACATCACCGGTTGTTACGACTATCGGTTTTTACGACTGAATATGAGCAGTCCCTTCGATGTCGTTAAAACAGATTTTGACTGTAGTTTTAAAATAATTTGTGTATGTAAACTGAATAAATTTGTGTATGTGTATTTTTACTGGTGGTAGAACCTCTTGTGAGTCTGCACGTGTAAGTACCACCACCCCGCCTATTTCTGCCGTGAAGCAGCATTGTGTTGCGGTTTGAAGGGTGGGGCAGCCGTTGTAACTATACTGAGACCTTTGAACTTATATCTCAAGGTGGGTGGTGCATTTACGTCGTAGATGTCTATGGGCTCCAGTAACCACTTAACACCAGGTGGGCTGTGAGCTCGTCCAACCATCTTAGATAATGTTTGAATTTTAAAAATGAATGTGATTGTTGTTTCCCAGGAGCACCAAGAGCTCCTGCAGGAGGTTGTGCAGCACGAGCAAAAACTGATCAAGAAGGAACAACATCTGGACCGGGTCACCACCAAAATGTTCAAGAAAGTCACCGCTGCTGAAAAAGAAGTAAGAATATTCTTTAAATTTTATTATTATTTAATAACAAAAATTGTAATACCAATCCGGAAAAAATGCCAATGGTGTTTGGTTTAAAACAAAGGAAAATTATGACCAGGGCCCCGTAACTGTAATACTTTAAGACAAATATTTTTTTGTTGGAACATCTTGTAGCAGATGCTCGTAAACTTATATGCTGTGAAAGTTAAGGCATTTAATCTGGCATCGTATAAAACAGAAAAGAAAATAAAATATTTTTAAATCTTTATTTGTTGTAGATTATTTACAAAATTCTTTAACACTAGTAAATAAGAATTCTTATTACAAACTAGCTTAAAATTGTAAAAGAATTGAATCCAAAGTATGTCACAGATGTCACTCATTCATAAAACGAAATTTTTCAGAATCAATGGCGTGAAGAGATGAGTGAAGGTCTGCCGAAACCACATAACCCTGCGGAACATGACTCCGAATCCGACGGAGAGTACAAAGCCATCAACCCTCCCGTTAAGAATAAGAAGAAAGATCACAAGGCTCGAAGGAAACAGAAGGAGAGACTGTTAGAGAAGGAACGCCTGAAAAGGGAAAAGATTGACAAAAAGAAGATAACTGATATTTACAAGTATGCGGATGTTCTGTTCTTTCTTATTTATATCAATAAAATGTTGTTTATTGGCAAGTGCATTACTTGAGAATCCCTAGACAGATGCGATTGTTTTTGGCTATGTTTGTAACGGTCATAATTACATTATCACCCTGCCAGGTCATCCAGTATGTATTGCGCATTCGCGTGCGTATACTTTCAGGATGTGGAATATTTTGATTAAAAAAAAATTAAGTCACTGTAATGTGATTATAAATTCTGATCACACATTTAAAAGAGCCACTGAGGAATTGTTTGAGATGATACCATCATCTCGTTTTTACCACCGCACCGCCCGCCACCGGAGTAGAGTTCATCCATACTACCTGGAGCCACTGCGGTCATCTACAGTGCGTTTCCAGAGATCTTTATTTGCCACGTACCATCCGGCTATGGAATGAGCTCCCCTCCACGGTGTTTTCAGAGCGCTATGACATGTCCTTCTTCAAACGAGGCTTGTGGAGAGTACTTAACGGTAGGCAGCGGCTTGGCTCTGCCCCTGGCATTGCTGAAGTCCATGGACGACGGTAACCACTCACTATCAGGTGGACCGTATGCTCGTCTGCGTACAAGAGCAATAAAAAAATAAAAATCCTCATTTTTAATCTTCGGTAATGATAATGTATCTATGTAATGTGTTTTTAATTTCTAGGCTTCGGAAACTGGAGTCTTCGATCAAGAAAGGCGAGAGGGTTCGCGAGGCTCAGCGCGTCCAGCGAGCCGCCCGCCGCGCCGCCCGCGCCCGCGCCGCGCCCCCCGCACTCAGCGCGCACCCCGCGCCCGCCCCCGCCCCGCCGCTCGTCCCGCCCGCGCAGCTCTCCGGCGACCTGCGCCGCGTCGCGCCCGCCGGTACGGGGCACATGCTCACCAACAGGAATACCCGATCCTGCGGACAGAATGGAAAGCAGTCGACGTCGCCCTAAACATGTCATTTCGGATCCTCCCGATCCACTAACGGTGCTTTTACGTACCTCGAGCGCCGGTCATCGTTCTCGTCGAACCCGTTCGATCCGGTGTTAGATTCTGCGAAGCACGGCTCTTGCTAGGGTTCGTGTTAGAACATCGTCAGGCTTAAGCCCTGTGAGCTCACCTAATAGTTAAGGCGATGCTGATTTAGCCTCCCAAGGCTTAGGTAGGAAAAAAAACCAAATCCAACCATGACAAAATCAAAAAATTCAACACAATGCACTATAATCTTCTTCTTTATTTTTATACTCCGTTTGTGCATTAGCCAGCTTCAAGTAACAACATTTTTATAATTTGGCGTTTTAATTATTTACAACTTATGAATAATAAAAAAGAATGAAAACTAATCGCGACATAACATAAACGTTTAAAAACGAATGAAATTTACAAATGAGGTGATATGTGATGAAATTTAATCTCGGTAAAATGATGGTCATTTACTAAGACTTTTTCAGTGGACTTTTTTGGAGGATCTTGAAAAGTTACGTTCAGCGGCTTTGTTTCATTTTCCCACGTTTGTGCACTTTGATACTAAACAGTTAATAAACTGCCGTTATTACACATTTAAACATGAAGAAACACTAAATAGACAAATTAAAAAAAATCACACAACTTCGCTCGTCGCATTCCCGCCAAAAAGTCAACACAATGCTTAAAGAACGATTTCTTTTCCAGTGAACCTTCTCCGCGAACGTTTCGAGTCGCTCCAACACCGCGGCGCCCTCGCAGCCTCCAGGGTCATGATGAAGAAGAAACGGAAATTAAAGAGCTACTTCAAGCCGGGACACAAGGTCACCGACCAAGATGTACAGAAATTTATCAAAAATCATAATATAGAAGTATAGATTCACGAAATAAAGTTGAGCTTACAAAATTATTGTCGTTTTTTTTAATGATATAAATTGTAATGTGTATGTACCGATATTTAAATGGGACAGTCAATAAATGAATGTTTATATGACTAGCGGCCCGCTCCGGCTCCGCTTGGGTCTTCAACAAAAATTTCAACGATATTTGACGTTGTTTTATTTTTTTAAATAAAATAACACTTATTGCGGCATAACTATAGTTAAGACATATTGTCGCGACACTTTTTGTAAATAATAAGGTGTTCTATAAAGCCGTAGTACATTATTTTATTCTATCATCAATAGTTTTCGTAGGGCACGCGATGTAAAGAATATTTTAGGTAGTTTCTTATCACCTTGGGGTATAATATTGGAGTTTTAGTAAGGATCCCTATTTTTTTTAAAAAATATTATATCCTATGTCGCTCGGGAATAGTGTAGCTTCCAAACAGTAAAAGAAGTTTTCAGTTCAGTATCAGGTTCATCGGTTCAGTACTTTCGGAGCCTATTCAATACAAACAAACAAATCTTTCCTCTTTATAATATTAGTATAGATTAATATAGACAAGAAATTATTGTTTAACAAAAAATATAGTAAAAAATGAATGTTTAAAACCATCCGCCATGCTTGAGCCAATCGTTTCCGTCTTCGATACAAGATGGCGCCCGTCAAGGGACGACCGCCGCAGCCGGGGGCCAGACATATAGTGCCTCTATCTATATGTATTGTGTATGATTGTATTGTGACTGTAATTTCTTTAATTTTCAAAAATTAAAATTGTTATGGAATTTAGTATTGTTATTATTATTTTATTGCTTAGATGGGTGGATAAGCTAACAGCCCACTGGTGTTACGTGGTTACTGAAGCCCATAGACATATACGACGTAAATGCGCCATTCACCTTGAGATATAAGTTCTAAGGTGTCAAGTATAGTTACAACGGCTGTTCCACCCCTCAAACCGAAACGCATAACTGCTTCACGGCAGAAATAGGCAGGGCGGTGGTACCTACCCATGCGGACTCACAAGAGGTCCTACCACCAGTAATTACGCAAATTATAATTATGCGGGTTTGATTTTTATTACACGATGTTATTTCTTCACTGTGGAAGTCAATCGTGAACATTTGTTAAGTACGTATTTCATTAGAAAAATTGATACCCGCCTGCGGGATTCGAACACCGGTGCATCGCTACATGTGACTGCACCGGACGTCTTATCCTTTGGGCCACGATGACTTCATACCTACATACGTTTAAGAAAGATTGATCTATATTTTATCCCATTAAAAAGCTGAAACTGAGACGTATACTATATTATATACTAATATTTATATTAAAACTATTATCAAACTCGGTCTTCTGTGGCGCAAAGAGCATCCTTTTTTTTACAAAGTGCTTTCAACGGAAACTATTGGTTTGTAAAAACTAAACGCGGTTCTAAAATGAAATCTGTGTGCTTGACTTGCGAGTTTCTTAACGTTCTCGATAGCGTAAAAGTTAACTCAATTTGTATACAGTTGGGACAGCGCCCCTAGCGGCAACGTGGGCAAGCGTTCTAACTACGTTAACTTTTACGCTATCGAGAACGTTAAGAAACTCGCACTGAACACGCTGAAAGGATAAAACATGTCCGGATGCAACTTATCCGATAGATTCTGAAATTTTGGGTTTGTGCACAGTTCAAGCAATGAATGAACTGTTTTTGTAAATAAAAGTTTATAATCGTAAATATACATTTAATATCAAAAATAGCCTTAACATTTTTAATATACTTAACTAAGTAAATATAATATTTTACAATTTTTTGTAACGTGGCATTGTAATACTTTACAACTTAATCTAATAAAATAAATGGTAAATCCTATTTATAATAATGTCACTAACATTTTAATAATATTACTGCACTTAAACACACTGTAAGCCTTTTAACCAGGTGATGTTAAAAATTATCAATGTTTTTGTTATTAATATAGTGATAAATACAGATAGGTATTAGTAATAAAAATTGATATAGGTATATTTTACTAGTTAATTTCAAATCGACAGATCATTTTGAAATTACTTTTAATTATAGAAATAACTACCGACCCGCCGTCGCTTCGCTTCGGAAACTGTTATTTATTATTGATTTCTCCACTATTTAATTGATGTTATTATACATATAAACCTTCCTCTTCAATCACTCTATCTATTAAAAAAAAGCCGCATCAAAATCCCTTACGTAGTTTTAAAGATTTAAGCATACATAGGGATATAGGGACAGAGAAAGCGACTTTGTTTTATACTGTGTAGTGATATGATAAGAATAGTTCAAGGATTACTCTGGTCACCGGAGGATATCAGCTTAGGCAGGAAAAAAAGGATTGTTTAAACATGTGGTCGGAAGTAATGCAAAGAGCGAGATTTTCATATATCTGATAAAAGTTACTCGTATATGTAATTAAATATAATTAATGTATTATTAAACGTAACTCATTTCTGTATTGAAGTGGTTTTAATAACGTACTACCAAACCCTTTCACATTCAGTTAGGCTTACATTTAAAATGACAAATAGATCGTTAATTGTCGCCATATTTTTCTGGTGATTGATAAGTAGCCCTTAGTCATAATAATATTTAGGAAACAAGACAGTTAACTAAGATCTACTTTGGAAGTAACTTAAAAATATAATTTAAGTCGTGTTATATCGTATGAAACAATAATTTAACTAACTTAAAACAACTAAATCGTCATCAAACAAATTATTATATCCATAACTACTACACTCAAATACTGAAGTAAAAAAATGCTTAACGAAAAACAAACACGAAATATATTTCTCGTTGGCAAGATTCAAGAAGGCTAAAGTTCTAAGAACAATTCAAAGGTATCTACAAAATATTTACTAAGATTTACAATTACATTATATTTAGGGCTTTAAATAGATTCATCAATAAATGAAAACCGATAATAGTAAATCCCTAAATATAAAGGCAAAAATACCATTGACATTAGAAATATCTTCAACCCCATCTTGCTGCGATAGAGTATAAAGATTTGAGTAGCTCTAACGCTCTAGTGTCCGGAGCAGTTTTTAAATCTGAAGTGGCGACTCTAGCTTCTGCAATCGGTTTGTCGAAATTAGGTACTTTAGTAGTTCTCACTTCAGGCGTAGTTTTGTATTTCCTGTGTCCCCTTCGTCCTGCCGTCGTTCTAGGACTGAATGTAGTTGAAACAGGCCTCAAGTCTTCAATTTTAGAGGTTTCTGTTGTAGACATTAAAGAATTTATGACGCTTGGNGTTTTTAAATCTGAAGTGGCGACTCTAGCTTCTGCAATCGGTTTGTCGAAATTAGGTACTTTAGTAGTTCTCACTTCAGGCGTAGTTTTGTATTTCCTGTGTCCCCTTCGTCCTGCCGTCGTTCTAGGACTGAATGTAGTTGAAACAGGCCTCAAGTCTTCAATTTTAGAGGTTTCTGTTGTAGACATTAAAGAATTTATGACGCTTGGATCCAAGTTTATGCTCTTCCCTCGTCTCTCGAACTGTCTGGGTATGATTTCATGTCTGTCCATTCTCCTATTGTCACTGGTTTTGTATTCATTTTCAGCGATTGTGGTTGGTTCTGTCATCTCTTCTTTAGCGATCTCCTCCATGTCTTTCTGTGAAACAGCCATCAGGGCCTCTAGTAGAGCCTTCTTTGAAGCTTCAGCAGTTGAGTTGTGGTCGTCATCGCATGTTTGAATTAAGAGGAGAATAAGTCTTTTGACTGTTTTGGATTTAGTCTTCTTCATGACATTCATTAGTTTCTCTGTTGTTGTGGAGTTCATGCCTCCCATTATTTCTTTGGCTTTTTCAACTACCGTATCGGTTATTGCTGATAAATCTTGTGAAGGTTCAGTTGATGAATCCTTGAGTAGTCTCCCAACCCTAATATCATTTTGGTTTTCAGTACTGGCTTCGATATTGGCAGTAGTGGTTTGTTCTGTAGTTTGGTACTCAGAGATGGTCGTTGTCGCTGAATTGTACATTTCGTCTCTCAATGAGTTATCAGGTCCAGTTGGACTTAGACCGTCATTTAACGTGATTGGATCAATGAACGTACTCTGCCAATTATCAAAAGTTGACCACTGTTGGTAAGTAGTTTTGTCAGTGTCTGGAGATGTAAAAACACTATCGGAGGTTGGTGCTGTCGTTAGGATTTCAGATTCTGCAACTCTAGTAGTCGTAGGAGGTTGAGTTGTTGGTATAGCTGTAGTTAGTTCGAAGTCTGCCGTAGTGGGGGCTTCCGAATCACCAATCTTATTTCCAGTTTCGTCTAAGTTTATTTGTGTTCCTTGGCGCGAATTTTGTGTTCCTACGAAAGATTGACTATGTGCTCTTTGTAACTCTTCTTCATTCTCTAGTTCCACGCTGTCTGTTTCTGTGAAATACACAGGCGTAGTAGTCGGAATCACAGTACTCGTTCTAATTCTTTTGCTTTCGAAATCTTCGATAGTTGTAGGGTAGGAAGTGGATGCTGATGTGTCTATGCCCCAAGCTGTTGGTAAATTAGTGGCCTCAACATATTCATCTAAAGGCTGATTTCCAGTGAAATTGATGCTATTACCATAAGGAGCATCGCTAACGGTAAGTGCATTATTATGGAATCCACCGTATTTAGGAACAGAGTAATCCGTTGTTTGTTCGGAGTTAAGGTTATTTAAAGTATTGACCTCAAATGCCACGGTGTATGGTGTAGTTGATGCATTAGGCGGTGGGGGAGCTTTTGTATAAGATGCTGATATTCTACCGCAACATCTGAATGGATTTCTTGGAGTTGTCTGAGCGTGGGTCGTAGCCACTACTTCTGGTGTATATGTTGTTGCTGTTGCATCAGAATATTTGGCAGAGATTGCCAAGGCTTTAGGTTCTCTAACAGACGGTGCGTTATTTACTCGTTTGCTGTCATCGGAAAATCCTAGGATTTCATCGTCTTCTTCGTTAATTGTTGTTGTCGGTTCCGTATTTATTGCTTCTTCTGTTGTCGGAAGAAGATCACTGAAAGAGGGATGGGTTGGTCGGATGTCTGATAGCACCTTTCTAAATTGAACAGGATCTTGTAAATAGGCAGATAAGGCATGAGTGAATACTTGTGCTAGCTCTCGGACCTGTGGGGAGCTCGCGAATGGATTTTGGCTTTGTTGCACCATTAGATCTTCAGAAAACGCACCGAAAGTATTGTTTAATTCTGCTTTCATTTCTTCGATCAACTCTGCTTGTTCCGTTCCCTGTTCGAAGAGATTACTGTATTTATGTATGGTTTTCTGGCTGAAGAGTCCTGGAAGAGCTTCTTCCATTGCTTCATAATCATCAAAACCGCTCGTAGTAGTTTCAGTTTCTTCAGTTGTAGATGTTGTAGCCAGGTTGTCTAATCCTGTAGCGTAGTAAATAGCTAGGCTGTGTAATGATTTTGGCGTTAAGGAAGGTGGCACGATACGACCTGTCCTTAATGGTTGGTTTTCGTAGACTTTTTCAGTAGTCGTTATTGTCGGCGTTTCAGTTGATTCAATACTTTCCAAGTTCAATTTCCTTAAAAGCCTTTCACGTCTATCTTTATATGAAGGTTCCGTGGTCGCTTCGCTAACTTGATTTGTTGTTGAGAATTCATCGTTTTGTTTTGCAGTTGTGGTGGTTTCGGTAAAGGAAACACCTTCAGACCTTGTTGTTTGTGGTATTTTAGTAACAGATTCAAAACTGTTCTTCGTTTCAATTACTACTTTGTCCGTTTTGCTTTCTACTTCATAGGATCTCTCAGTTGTTTCCGGTATTTTTTCAGTTGTGGTTGTTAAAGATTTATTCTTTTCCTTTTCCAGGAAACCTTTGAGCGCGGACACTCCGGGTCTAGTGTAGGGCTCGTGTCTCTGATACGCAGTGAAGCTCTTCGTGTATGGGACCAAATTTGGTCGTTTGGTTGTCTCTTGTGTTTCTTGGGTTAAATGTTTGTCCCGTATGTCGTACAAAGTGGTCAAATTAGGATTTATTCTCGGCTTAGGCTTTGGTGTGTTGGGCGTGTAAACTGGGTAGGGACGATAGTTTTTAGTGTGTAAATTTTGTAAGAATTGTCTGTTGTTATTATTAGCGAAAGACGCTGTCTCGGCAGCTACTTGCATTTCTTTGATTTCAGCGGGCACTTTAGGGGCTTCTAGATATGAGGGTAATGTTGGTTTTGGCACAGTGAAGCTGTTGGTGATCAATTGAACGAGATTTCTTCTTCTGTTTTCGAAACTGGTTGTCTCTTGAGTCCGTTGCGTTGGATTAAAATCAAAAAGCGTGTGCAAGTTTCTGCCCGTTGGTACGTTGAAAGGTTTTTCAGTTTGCAGTTTTTGTCTGTGCCTCTGTAGCCTCTCTGTTGTACTGGGAACGTTGACGGTAGACCTCCTGGACTCGGCCCTGATCTGGCTATCTCCGATCAGCTGTAGGTCCTGCTGTTTGTGGTTTTGGGATGTTTTCTGCGATTTCTTTTGTTCATTTGAGTAATATTCGGCGCTGGACTCGTATAAGGCGGGGGCGGATGCGCAGTCCACCTTGAACCACCAGTCGCAAATGAGATGGGACTGGCTGAAGATGGTCCCGTTTGGGCACAGGAATGATATCTTACGGGACGTGTCGCAAATGTGGAATACCTGTAATTTTAAACAATTTAATGTAGAATCCATTTATTAAAAAAGTCAAGCGATGCGATTATATCGGGACTTAAATATTCTGGCATGTAAGTATGACAGTTACGTAAAATACACATACTTATAGGTGGTAGGGCGTATTGTAAGTCCGCACGAGTAGGTATCGCCATGCCTATTGTCACCGCGCAGCAATAATTATAATTTGTATAATTGTATTTTGTCATAATTCTAATTATAATGATATTATAATATAATAAATTAATTACTGGTGGTAGGACCTCTTGTAAATCCGCACGGGTAGGTACCACCGCCCTGCCTATTTCTGCCGTGAAGCAGTAATGCGTTTGAAAGGTATGGCAGCCGTTGTAACTATACTTGAGACTGTAGAACTTATATCTCAAGGTGGGTGGCGCTTTTACGCTGTAGATGTTTATGGGCTCCAGTAACCATATGAGCTCCAGTAACCATTTAACACCAGGTGGGCTGTGAGCTCGTCCACCCATCTAAGCATTAAAAAAAATAGTAGTCATGCGTTCCGATATGAAGGGTGGAAAAACCGTTTTACAATTCAATTGAGAGTCGAATGATGATGATGAGATTATGAATACTTGATGAGCCTAGAGTCTGTCTGTTTAAATTAATTCAGTTTACCTGGCAGTCGGTTTCCAAGTCGGCGTAGTATCCAGTTGGCACGTTCTTGCAGTTGAATTCAGTGCTGGGGATGTTAGGGTATGCAGGGAAGTCCACGCCCGCCTTGCCGATGACGCCTTTAATATAAAAATATATAAAAACTTTTAAAAACTTTTAAAAGCATTTAAAATTAACATTATTATTTATTGTCATTATTATTAGGGAGTTCAACATTCATATAAATATTAACCTATCCATTAAGTACAAGCTGAAACGGAGTCACGATCCTCAGCAATGAGGGAGCGATGGAGAAGAAGAAGTACATGTATTTTTTACATGGATACCAAGTTTCAAGTCAATCGGATGCATGTAGTTATAACGGAACATCCGTAAAAACCACTGTAGATTTATATATTAGTATAGATTATACAAACAGCTGATTCTCTATTTAAATTCCAATAATTATGTTCGGGATCGTTTTGTAAATATTCCCGAGCAACTTCAAAGCAAATTTAAGTTTTGTCGTATAGCGAAATTACTTTAAAATAAACTGAAATCTATTTTAAAGTAATTGGTAGCTAACGCAATATTCAAATGACGACGAATAACATTTTAGTCATTCATGAATAGCGAAAACTAAAGCGTCCGAAACGTTGGAAATAATAATATCGAGGGGTGCGGCACGACAAGAGGGATTCATGTCGTGCCGCCTTTTCGAAGTGGCCCAATAATGCCGACTGTAGATACTTACTGACTGAGTCAAGCTCCAGGTCATCATGGACAGTTCGATGTTTTTAATTCAACACATTCAATACAACAAAGTTTACCTCATTAAAATAACTAAAGAAGCTTTTTGTTTTGTTGTGATATTTTTGCCAAACTTTAAACTTTAAAGTTTAAAAAATGTCACTTTAATTAAATAGCCTTTCGTCCTTCGATATAAAGACGATACAAAGCCCTAAATTAAACTATAAAGTATAAACGTGCTTTTCTATACTAATATTATAAAGAGGAAAGATTTGTTTGTTTGTTTGTATTGAATAGGCTCCGAAAGTACTGAACGGATTTGAAAAATTCTTTCACTGTTTGGAAGCTACACTATTCCCGAGTGATATAGGCTATAATATTTTTTTAAAAAAAATTGGGATTCTTACTAAAACTCCAATAATGTAAACCAAGGTGTAAAAAAATTACCTAAAATTTTCTTTAAATCGCATTGCCTGCGAAAACTATTGATGATAGAATAAAATAGTGCACTACGACTTTGTAGAACACATTATTATTTACAAAAAGTGTCGCGACAGCATATGTCTAACTATTATAGTTATACCGCAATAAGTGTTCTTTTATTCAAATATCGTTGAAATTTTTGTTAAAGACCCGAGGGAAGCCGGAGCGGGCCGCTTGCTAATTATATTTTAATTGCTGGGTTTACCTTGAACGTCCAGGTCTGGGTGGCTGTCGGCCGGTATGAGTCTCTTGACCAGCGGCCGACCCTCGGTGTAATGTTCGAAGCCCGCAGCGCCCATAGCTTCGGCGAGAGCTTGTAAGCTCTCCGCGCTTGGAGTCGGCTCGTAAAAATCAGCAGTTCTCGCCGTGTCCTGAACGTGTTAATGAACAGAATCATTGATAGCTTTCGTGTCGTTGGAATCCAACGCTGTTTTTGTACCGTAAAAAAATAACGAATTCATAAAATATTATGCTTGTTATTTTATTTTAAACTATATCTAGAAATTGGTGAAAAAACTGGTGGTAGGATCTCTAGTGAGTCTGCGTGGGTAGGTACCACCACCTTGCCTATTTCTGCCGTGAAGCAGTAATGCGTTTCGGTTTGAAGGGTGGGGCAGCCGTTGTAACTATACTTGAGACCTTAGAACTTATATCTCAAGGTAGATGGCGCATTTACGTTGTAGATGTCTATGGGCTCATGAACCACTTGGCACCAGGTGGGTTGTGAGCTCGTCCGCCCATCTCAGCAATAAAAAAATAAAAAAAACACGTATCTAATGTACGTGGGCTACGACTTGGCTCTGCCCCTGGCATTGCTGACGTCCATGGGCGACGGTAACCACTCACCATCAGTTGAGCCGTATGCACGTATGCCTACAAGGGCAATAAAAAAAATGCTACGTGAAATTAAAACATCCGAATATTGTAAAGTCAGTAGGGATGCATAATATTGTTTCCTGTTTTGATTGCTTATTGAAATAAATAATTGTACCTGCCGACGTTGTGCTGGTCTCCTGGCGCAGTCACAGAGACCTGAAAATTAAAATGGTTAAATTTTTTCTATTTTCTTTATATATAACTGTTAACCACGACTTAGGAAAACCAGTGATTTTCCCGACTTCAAAAAAGGAGGAGGTTCTCAATTCGACTGTATGTTTTTTTTATGTTTGTTACTTCATAACTTTTGACTGGGGGAATCGATTTTGATGATTCTTTTTTTATTAGAAAGCTGACGCTTCCCGTGTGGTCCGATTTCAATTTAGTCTTGTTCTGATGATGGTGTACATGAGAAAACCATATAAGTCTTAAATTTGCAATAACTCAATATCACGCCAACCGATTTCGATGGTTATTGTTTTTAGTGTATAAAATTTGTTTTGGAATATCTTTTTTTTTTCTATTTGAATTCGGTTTATGTTAAAGCATGTCTATTTACGTTTATTATCCACTAAACGTTTCGACAAACTCATCTAATTTGAAGGATTTCAAATGAACGGTTTCAATGTATTTTTATGTTAGTTCAATCGGCTTAGCTGTACGGAGTGAGTATAATGATACCACTCCGAAATTAAGCCATGTATAAGAAATATGTTATGTTTGAAGGCCGCACACAAATAAGCTTAAACACATTATTATATTTTCACATGAGATTTTGTATTTTCGTTTTGAAACATACTGTACTGTTACGACGAGTTCAGTGACCTATTTTCATGCTAATACTATTAACCATAATACTATGGCATTTCGTACAATTTGTTTAGTAAATAATATTTTTATACGTGTATTTAGATTTTGGAAGGCAATATACATACATACTTATCAGGCTCGGGTACTTGCATTGAAGCGTTGTATGTTTTGAACTTATTACTTTCCTATACATTTTTATTTATGAACAATGATGCTTACTTCGCATGCAAGTAATCTATGAAAATTAAGCTGATAATACAGAAAACAAGCGGGAGCGATTAAAAGAATAAATATTTTTCAAACAGTAAGCGGCCGTTTAAAAATTATAAAATTAATTTATTCTAAATTTTTTGTAAAGAATTGAATAGATGAAGCGATTCCAGTTGGAATTGACATAGTCAATTAAACAAAATTCACATCTAGTAAGTTTTATTCTGACCAAAGATGAAACTGAAGTATTACAATTACATCATCATTATTACACTATCAATTTAACTGTAACTTTTAATTTGGGAATGTTACATTTTAGAAAATTCTTGAAAATGTTGTCTATATATTAAAAGAAAACAAGTCCTGTCCGTGTAACCGTGGTGTAACCACTGTAAAAGCAAAAACTTCCGATAGTGCTTTGTCCCATTTTAACTGACAGTAGTCCCACAACGAAAGCTTGGAGGTTGTCAACATCGATGTGAAAGTTAGTAATGTCTCCACATAAAACAATAAATAATTGCCACAGCTTATGCATACTATGTACTGTGCTAGTTCAATCACTACTTTGTTCTCGGCTGTCATACGTATACACATATAGGCACCATACTTATGGCTTGTAGGTGTATTTTGAGCTTTGTATAACCTTTTTTATTAGAAGATGAATGCTTTTGATTTAAACTTTTCGAATTTGTAGTCATAGATAATATATATAAATTAGTTACAGACAAGCAACTCAAGCTCTCAAAAAAAATTTTTACGGGCGTCGGCCACTAGATGACTTCACTTCATTTGGTTTCTCATCGCTCCTGTAGATGGCAGTAAGATAATACCTATCCTATATTTTATTTTTAATGAAAGATTTTGTAAATTTTCAGGTACTACAAATTGATAAAATTTAATCAATTTGTCTATAATAAACAAAGACTTGCATGATTTTTTTATTTTTTGTGTTTTTTTGTACAATAAATAAATGCCTTAACTTTAACAACATATACGTTTAGGGGCATCCGTTACAAGATGTCGCTAGTTTCCATACAAAAAAAATTATTTGTCTTAAAGTATCGCAGTTTCAGGGCCCTGTTTCAAGTTATATTTAGTTTAGCAAGTACAGTCAGTTGCAGAAATCTGCAAACATTTCAATTTTAACCAAACACATACTAGATGGCGTTGGTGGTTTTATTCATTATATTCGTGGAAGGTCACGATCGAGCATAAACCTAATTATGTTTTTACATAACTATCACTTCATTGTAAGTACTGATACTGTATACCTGCCGCAAAAACATATTTCTAGTTTAAGCACGACCCGGTCTCCAGATAAATTAATGAAGTTATACTATATTAATAAGATATGGCGTCGTTTAGTAAGTGCAAATGATTTTAATTCTGTATTATCCATGCATTTTTGCAGCCCACTATACAAATTTTAGATTTGACTATTTTAGGAATACATTTCTTCAATTAATTGATTTTTAAATTATACTAGGCTAAACACGGATCCGTAAAAACAAACTTACAAAATGAAAATCTTACCCTTAACATTTTTTGGTCATTCTACAATTTAGAGATTCGGGTAATTTCAATAAACTGTAGAACTAGTCATGTTTCTGAGTCATGATTGAAGAAACTATTGTATAATTGGCACACTACTACCAAACCGGAGTTTTCTTCGCTAATTTAATCTATAATGATTGGCTTCCTCAAGAGTACCAGCGCGTTCCACCACAAAGGACTATAACATTTGTTTCATATCTTTAACGTTCCATTTAGTCGTAATACCATTTCCTGTATGAGTTCCGTAGTTACGTGTTTCGACCGCAAGACATTGTGACCACTCCTGTTCCAATAAGGTGTCGTAATATGATTGTCATAAATTCAGTACATAGATATTATATAGTTTTAATAACACTAGATTTTCGATACAAGCAATTCCACTTGCAGAGCTGACTCTCAATTTCTGATCGATTCTTGTCGGCGATGAAGGTAAAGTAAATTCAAAACATATCCAAAGACCTCATTGAAAAAAAGCTTTTTGATATGACAGTTTTTTTTACCTATGCTGATAGCCTTGAGATGCTATTTCAGCGTAACCTTAACTAGTAGGTGAGCTCACTGGGCTCAAACCGGGAGAGTTGCTAACACCAGCCCTAGCAAGACCAATGCTTCGCAGAATCTACCACCGGATCGGAAACGCGACCCACTGAGAAGATCCGGCGAGAAACTCAGTGGGCTGTGTTTGTGGGTTAATTCTCTCGTCGAGCCCTTCGTCGCAAGCGACGGGTTCGACGAGGACGGTGACCAGTGCTTGTGGTACCTAAAAGCACCGTTAATGGATCGGGAGGATCCGTAATGACGTGTAATGGCAGTAATATTTTCTATTCCATACATCAAATGTTTTCGTTCGTGCTTATTTACGACTGACTCGATGCTGGAGCAGTTAGCGCTCCTGACCTTTGGAATGAGAGCCTAGGTTCGATTCCTACATCAGACAAACATTCGTATGACGAAGAAGTTTCTTTGCACTTTGTTGAGTTCCTTAATATCTATATAGGTATGTTTAAACATATATAAGTATGTGTATGAGTCACTGGTTCTTATAGTACAGTGTATCGTAGTTTGGGGTCAAATGATATTCTTTGCTTCATAAATAAGGAGGATTTGAAATCGTCGTGACCTAAAGGATAAGACGTCCGGTGCATTCGTATCGAGCGATGCACCGGTGTTCGAATCTCGCTGGCGGGTACTAATTTTCTAATGAAATACGTACTCAACAAATGTTCACGATTGACTTCCACGGTGAAGGAATAACATCGTGCAGTAAAAATCAAACCCGCAAAATTATAATTTGCGTAATTACTGGTGGTAGGACCTCTTGTGAGTCCGCACGGGTAGGTACCACCGCCCCGCCTATTTCTGCCGTGAAGCAGTAATGCGTTTCGGTTTGAAGGGTNGTTATGTCGGACTCCGGCGCCTCCTGAGAGGAAGAAGGGGAGAAGAGAAGAGCCGAGGTCCTTCACCTCCCCCAATTTCTTACAGGAGACTACGCCTTGAAAAAGGCGCGCGAAGCACTTGCCCCGCAGAACGACTACCGACTAAACCCCATCGAGCCCCACCACTCCGACTCCACGAAACCCACGGTACCGCACAGTGCGCGCCGAAGGCTCGCCGTCGCCGGTACCCATCCTGTTAATAGGACGGCACTCCATCCCCGGGAAAATCCCGCAGGATTTTTTGGTGAAATTAATGTCATGCAACTAATTTCATAGTGTAAACGCGACGTTACATTTAGTTTTTAGTTTAGCAAGTACAGTCAGTTGTGGATATCTGCAAACATTTGAATTTTGACCAAACACATACTAGATGGCGTTGGTGGTTTTATTCATTATATTCGTGGAAGGTCACGATCGGGCATAAACCTAGTTATGTTTTTACATAACTATCACTTCATTGTAAGTACTGATACTGTATACCTGCCGCAAAAACATATTTCTAGTTTAAGCACGACCCGGTCTCCAGATAAATTAATTAAGTTATACTATATTAATAAGATATGGCATCGTTTAGTAAGTGCAAATGATTTTAATTCTGTATTATTTGCAGCCCACTATATAAATTTTAGATTTGACTATTTAGGAATACATTTCTTCAATTAATTGATATTTCAATTATACTAGACTAAACACGGATCCGTAAAAACAAACTTACAAAATGAAAATCTTACCCTTAAATTTTTTTGGTTATTCTACAATTTAAAGATTCAGGTATATTCAATAAACTGTAGTAATAGTCATGTTTCTGAGTCATGATTGAAGAAACTATTGTATAATTGGCACACTACTACCAAACCGAAGTTTTCTTCGCTAATTTAATCTATAATGATTGGCTTCCTCAAGAGTACCAGCGCGTTCCACCACAAAGGACTATAACATTTGTTTCATATCTTTAACGTTCCATTTAGTCGTAATACCACTTCTTGTAGTTACGTGTTTCGACCGCAAGACATTGTGACCACTCCTGTTCCAATAAGGTGTCGTAATATGATTGTCATAAATTCAGTACATAGATATTATATAGTTTTAATAACACTAGATTTTCGATACAAGCAATTCCACTTGCAGAGCTGACTCTCAATTTCTGGACGATTCTTGTCGGCGATGAAAGTAAAGTAAATTCAAAATATCTCCGAAGACCTCATTCAATAAAAGCTTTTTGATATGACAGTTTTTTTTACCTATGCTAATAGCCTTGAGATGCTATTTCAGCGTAACCTTAACTAGTAGGTGAGCTCACTGGGCTCAAACCGGGAGAGTTGCTAACACCGGCCCTAGCAAGACCAGTGCTTTGCAGAATCTACCACCGGATCGGAAACGCGACCCACTGAGAAGATCCGGCGAGAAACTCAGTGGGCTGTGTCTGTGGGTTAATTCGCTCGTCGAGCCCTTCGTCACAAGGGACGGGTTCGACGAGGACGGTGTCCGGTGCTTGTGGTACCTAAAAGCACCGTTAATGGATCGGGAGGATCCGTAATGACGTGTAATGACAGTAATATTTTTTATTCCTTACAACAAATGTTTTCGTTCGTGCTTATTTACGACTGACTCGATGCTGGAGCAGTTAGCGCTCCTGACCTATGGGATAAGGGCCTAGGTTCGATTCTTACTGGTGGTAGGATCTCTTGTGAGTTCGCGCGGGTGGGTACCACCTCTCAGCCTATTTCAGCCGTGAAGCAGTAATGCGTTTCGGTCTGGAGGGTGGGGCAGCCGTTGTAACTATACTGAGACCTTAGAACTTATATCTCAAGGTGCGTGGCGCATTTACATTGTAGATGTCTATGGGCTCCAGTAACCACTTATCAACAGGTGGGCTGTGAGCTCGTCCACTCATCTAAGCAATAAAAAAAATCCTACATCAGACAAACATTCGTGTGACGAAGAGGTTTCTTTGCAATTTGTTGAGCTCTTTCTAATTCTATATAGGTATGTTCAAACATATATAAGTAAGTATGTTTATGAATCACTGGTTCTTATAGTACAGTGTATCGTAGTTTGGGGCCAAATGATAGTCTTTGCTTCATAAGTAAGGAGGATTTGATTCTTATTTTTTCCACCTTATCTCACTAGATGGGGTCGGCACAGCTAATTTTTTCCTCCGTTCTCTTCTATCAGCCGTCATCTCAACACTCACTCTCCTCCTCTCACACTCCTCTGTCTCTCATATCGACATTCACACACTCCATCCATGTCTTCTTCGGTCGACCTCTTTATTATTGTTTAATTATTGTTTAATTATTGATTAATTATTGATTAAACAATAATAAAATGTTTCGATAATTATTATTGTCAGGGATTTTTTTTTATTGTTGCATAATGCTCAAATAATATAAGCATCGTCTTAGTTAGCTTTTGTTTTGGATAACGAAGCTCTCTAAAAACTTGAACCTTGTACAATATATTAAATTAACAATCGATACCTTGGACTGTTAATGTATACTAAGAATTATCTCATATTTCTCACGGTTGTTACGCAAAATTACATAGAACCTTTCATTAGTCTGATATAAAATAGGATGAAGGATTTTTCTCCATTGTATAATAAAAAGAACAGAGGAAATATTCTGATCGCGTCATTGGTCAAATGGTTGGTGAATATTTTTAATGCGCCACGGTGTCCAGGCTCATATCTCGCTTGAAGTCGATTTTTTATTCGCGAAGCGAAGTAAATTGCCCCTTCGTAACAAAGTGTCATTTTACAATACTTGTATAAGTGTAGTGTTCGCTCACGTGGCCCGCATGCACATTTACTCTCTCCAGGTCATCCAGTCCAGTTTGTGCAGGATTGTCGCCGGAGTACCACAGTTTGATAAAAATGTTGATCTTCACGAAAACTTGAATTGATACGAAAGTATCTTAACGAAGCGTCAGAACGCTACTTTGAAAAAGCGGCGCGACACCATAACTTTCGTATCGTGGCCACCACTAATTTTATATCCGATTCGATCCAAGCTGTCGCCCAAAACATCTCTTATCGGATCCTCTGGATTCGGTCTCGATGCTTTTAAGCTTTTCAAGCATCGGTAACCGTCCTCGAAAAACTCGTTTCAACGAAGTGTTCAACGAGCAAAGTAACTGACAAACAAAACCCACTGAGTATCTCACAGGATCTTGATTGTCGCGATTCCGATTCGGTGGTAGATTCAGCGAAGTCCTGCTCTTGCTAAAGCCAGTGTTAGCAATTCTCTCTAGTTGAACGGTCGTAGGTCACTTAAACGGTCGTTTGTTCTATTGTACTCTTATATGAGAACGGTCAATTCGTTCTTTTTCGTCTTTTTGTGACTTTCTTTAAGGACGTCAAAAAATGTACTGCCGTGCCGCTGGTCACGTACGCCCTCGTTCCATTTCTCTTCGAATTATTTTCAAATCTCTGTCTTAGACTGTCTATGTCTAGTCATTATAGGTCTTATGTCCTGTCAAAGAGGTTGCACGCCACGACACTAGTTGAGTTCGTGAACTCACCTACCGGACCACGTGTAGCCTGAACAGTCCCAGCTATCAACAATTAGATAGGAAAATAGAAACCTCTGTGCGTTAATTAATTCGCTTCCATCTGCTGGCGGCACGAACGCAATGACTTGAATACCGACCTCAAGCGAAACTGAGACACATTTTCGCAAGGTCCCGCCGCACCTTTATATTTTGCAATTTTAATATTCGTAATCTTAACTCGGGAATTACAAAATTAAAATTTAATGATACCTAAGAAAGTTAATTAAATATTTATTCATAAAATGTTATAAAAGCGGCCGTGCGGTTTGTTAACTTCAGTGACCTGAATTTTGGAATTTTTGTAGTTTAAAACAATGTAAAATGTTTGATTGTTTGATATTGTTGTTCTTTTTTACTTTTGGACTATGATAGCTAATTCTATAATGCTTTATTTATCTATTGGTTTATCTTTTGGTAAAGTTCCTCCGACATTTTAATTTGTTTCGGTGTGCCGGTTAACTTTTGCTGGAAGCTTCTTTGAAGTAATTTTTTCAGGGTTATTTGTCGTTTTCTCGCTTTTAGTCTTTTTTTGTAAGCAGTAAGTAATTTATTGCACAAAATTTTTGTACATACAAAACATACAAAAAATTCTTAATTTTTGCTTACAAAAAGATTTTAGTTGAGCCTTATAAATTGTAATTACTCAATTAAACTCTTTAATAACCTTAGTAGCGACTGAAACGGTATTCAAATCGCGTAGGTGGGTACCAAGTTTTCTAATGAAATACGTACTTACCAAAATGCTCACGATTGACTTCCACGGTGAAGGAATAAAAATCAAACCCGCAAAATGGAAAAGGTGGTTGGACGTCATGTGAGTCCGCACGGGTAGGTACCACTACCCTGCCTATTTCTGCCGTGAAGCAATAACGCGTTTCCGTTGGAAGGGTGGGGCAGCCGTTGTATTGTTAAAACTGAGGCTTTAGAACTCTTGCCTCAAGACGGGTGGCCGCATTTTTTCTGTAGATGTCTATGGGCTTCGGTAAGCACTTAATACCAGGTGAGCCATGAGCTCGTTCACCCATCTAAGCAATAAAAAAAAACACATCCAAGGTGTAAATGCTTAAGTCCATACTTATTGTAGTAAAAATATAAAAATTCTGTTTCATACCAAGAAGCATCGCAGCAAGGACTATTGATATAAGTTCCATGTTGTTTCTTCTTCTCCACCGCATTGTTATCTGGAAATATAAAATATAGTTATGTATAGTTTAAGGAAAGCCAAACGGGCATGATGTTTAATTTTTAATACGCTTTTATTAGCTTCAGACGTATGTATGTTATAATAGTATGTAACGGAATCTTTGAACATGATTTTGACCCCCTTCAAAACGTCGGATTAACTCGAAATTTAGTATACTTTTTAAGGACCGATGACAATTCAATATTAAAAAAATATTGAAAAAATTGAAATTCTACTAAAAAATTAAAAATAAATAATAGTTTAAAAAACTAACAAAATACGCTTTTATAGAAAATCCAACTAAAAAATAGAGAATAAATTTTAATAATTTTGAATTAAAAATAGTGTAAGAAAAAATGATTTGCATGGGGTGGGGGGTATCAGTAGTTACAAATATTTTATGAGCAGATATGAGTAGAACGGTTATTTTGATAATATCCTGAAAAGCACCCCACGCTTTTTTACAATAAAATCATTTTTTCTTACACTACTTTTAATTCAAATTTATTTTCTATTTTTTAGTTGGATTTTCTATAAAAGCGTGTTTTGTTAGTTTTTTAAGCTATTATTTATTTCGTTTATTTTTTGTTAATGGAAATTTAATTTGTAACTCCTTTGTGTTATTAAATTAAAGAATCAAAATACATTATTTCTGCCGTGAAGCAGTAATGCGTTTCGGTTTGAAGGGTGGGGCAGCCGTTGTAACTATACGTGAGACCTTAGAACTTATATCTCAAGGTGGGTGGCGCATTTACGTTGTGGATGTCTATGGGCTCCAGTAACCACTTAACTCCAGGTGGGCTGTGAGCTCGTCCATCCATCTAAGCAATAAAACAAAAAAACATTCCAAATGTAATCGAAATCGAAAAGAGTGAGTAAGGAACCATCTCAAAACGTTCATTTCTTCTACTACACTGTTATTACGAACGAACTATATGGTGACATAACAATGAACAAAACTCAATTAAACGCGAAAACCATAAGGCGTGGTGGAGACGTGACCAGATATTAGATCCGACCCGGATGCGACTTTCGTTTTCAGAAATACTTACATACAGTACGTGATATAAAATACTATGTTGTATTCACACGGCAATTGTCACGATTTCGCGAACGCTCTCGGCGCCATTTTAAGTTTATCTGTCAAAGTTTTGTTGTCTACAGGACGTTTTAAGTATTCTTTTGAAAATACGAAAAAAGATGAGGTTTTTATAGGAAGTATTTATACCAGACTGGCCCGAAAGAAGGCTGACAGGCTTCAGTTTTAAGTGTACATATCTATATATTAATACGTGAAGCAAAAACTTTGTATCCCTTTTTACGAAAATTGCGCGGACGGAGGAGTATGAAATTTTCCACACTTATAGACAATATAGAGAAGAAGTGCACAACGCTAATATTTTTTTAAAATAATGCATAACAGATACATTAAATCCATAAAGAAAACATTACACACACTACGTACCTTGTATTTGACGCACACACGCATGCATACTATTTATTATCAAGCTTTTGTTCTTGACGTCTGTTGTCAAATTGAGAATAGATTAAATATTATTTGTCTTTGTTAATATTTTTTATAGTGTAGTCTTGGCGAAATTTGTGATTATAGAAGTATAAAATACAATCATAATAGTGTACAAACTTACAATTCCAATTAATTATAGTCGAATTTCGACTACTGCGGGACCTCTAGTTTTAATTAAAACAAATAAAATTAAAACATATAAATAAGCCTGTTCTTAAAACTGTTTGCCAGTAAGAGAACAGTAGAACCCATCCGTACACGGATATAATTTTCCGGTAGCATAATATGTACAGCAATGCACATGTATTATATAAGAAATGTCGTATATGTAATAAATTGATGTACAGACTACATGCTCATGCGTTATATCACGCAGCCAATCAAGTATTTCTAGTTCACAATTAAGTAATTAAGTTACTTAGGGGTAATTATTTAGTAGTTGTTCTTGATCACTTAATCATCTTTCAATTTTACTTTATGATGTGGGCAACTGTCATTCTGTGACATGATTATTAAAATAATTCCTGAGTTAATAGTGTTTTTAAAATATGGGATATGTATTTTTTATACGTTTTTATTAGCTTCAGACGCATGTAAATATGTTTGTATCGGAATCTTTGAACATGATTTTGACTCCCTTCAAAAAGTCGGATTAACTCGAAATTTGGTAAAAAGCGTGGGGTGCTTTTCAGGATATTATCAAAATAACCATTCTACTTATATCTGTGCATAAAATATTTATAACTACTGATACCATGCAACCCAGGTTTTTGACAATAAAATCATTTTTTCTTACACTATTTTTAATTCAAATTTATTAAAATTTATTTTCCATTTTTTAGTAGGATTTTCTATAAAATCGTATTTTGTTAGTTTTTTTTAAACTATTATTTATTTTGTAATTCATGAGTCAGCGCATCACACCTGGTGTTAAATGATAGAAGCATGAAGTCTAAGTCTTATAGGCGCTGTATATCGATTGTCACATTCTTGAAATCAAAATGCATGACTGTTTTACTGCAGAAATGGGTAGGATGGTCAGGGCCTTATTTACCAGAAGTGCGGCTTCGGGTATCGCGAAAAATACCGCTCTGTTACCTATATGCAGGATCACTATTCGAGTAAAGGACCGGGGCATACCTAATAACTGCATAAATAAGTATAATACCGGTTTTACCGGTGGTAGGAGCTCTTGTGAGTCCGCACGGGTAGGTACCACCACTCCGCCTATTTCTGTCGTGAAGCAGTAATGCGTTTCGGTTTGAATGGTGGGGCAGCCGTTGTAACTATACTGAGACCTTGGAATTTATATCTCAAGGTGGGTGGCGCGTTTACGTTGTAGTTGTCTATGGGCTCCAGTAACCACTTAACACCAGGTGGGCTATGAGCTCGTCCATCCATCTAAGCTATAAAAAAAATACATCGCTTATGTAAAGGCTGGCTAGTGTAAATAGTGGTGGTACCTTTCCGTGCTCCTAAATTTTATTATTATAATAGCGTTTGGCGTGTTTTGGCGACCTTAATCTCGCATGTATTGTTTTTATCTTATATTTTGCGTTGTTTCGAATAGTTCGTTATCGTCGTAGTCACCGACAGTAAGATTAGTTAAACAACTCATTTTTAATGAGTACAAAAAAAAAAGTGTTTCATGGAACACCCTGTATGTGTTAAATAAAACTGAAAATCTGCTCTCACGACGACGGGTGGAGTACGGCCTGTGTTGCTATAAATCTTGAATTTTATCTGAGCTCCGCGACTCGGCTGGCTCTCGAGGGAATTTTTATGAACAAACATTTTTGATTACAGACAGAGAATGTTCGTTAGAGATTTTTAGTTGGTCCGCGTATTTAAGTGAATGCAGAGAAGGAAACTCACATGACTCCATCAAATTAATAGACAATTAAAAATGTTAAAACTCAACATTATAGTAGATTTGTTGCTGACTCTAATTATTGCTTTATTAATTATTAATTAATTTACACTTCATGTCTTATTTACATTGGCGGACTTTTTATTTTTTATTGCCTTTCTAGGCAGACGAGCCTGATGGTAAGTGGTAATCGTCGCTCATGGACATCAGCAATGCCAGGGGCAGAGCCAAGTTTCTGCCTACGCTGACTTAATGCCTAAGGCATTCTCTACCATTCAACCAAAGGTGGTACAGAGTCATTAATGGTAAATGTAATCAATGGTAGGTGGTAATTATAAATGTCAGCATTACTATTGCTTCGTAACAAAATTCTCTATAATAAAATAAATAGGCAAAAATAAATTAGTTTTTCTTGTACATTTTCCATCTATACAAAATCTATAATGGAAATAAATTTATTAATGTATTCCGATATTAGTAAAATAATTTAAAAAGGTTCCATAGCGCAGAGCTGTTGAAATAAACATTTGTATAACTATTATGTTATATTTGTGAATACGTATTACGTAGCAGCCAATATTATGTTTATCTGTATTTTGTAAATATAGCAACAGTTAAAATCTGATATTACCGCGTTCCTAAATTACTGACCCCTACATCAAATCCTATTCAAACTTTCAACAAATTTTCGAAATAACCGTCCTACCGACAGCGATCAGTTCATAAATCTAAGCCATATACTCGAATCCGTGCAGAGTTTTGACGCGAATCGTTAAAGAGAAAACACCATTGTTCCTAACCTCAGGCAGTGATTGATTTATTTTTGAAACGATTTCTGATGATTTATCAACTAATTTTCTTGTTACGACACGATAAGGAAGAACAATTTGATTTTTTTATGTTATTCAATCCGATTTTCAACCCTAAGACAAAGCCCACTGAGGTTCTCAATTGATATTCTTTGCTTTTCCGATCTGATGGGAGATTCTGCGAAGCTCTCCTCTTGCTAGCGCTAATGTTAGAAAAAATACCAGGTAGAGCCCCGTAAGCTGGTCTAGTCGCTCGGTGGCTCTAGTATGTAGCTCCCGGAGGTTACTAGAACAGGTAGGCAAAATACGCTTTTCTTTATCTATACTAATATATACAGTGTTTTTTGCGGATGTTCCGTTATAGCTACTAAACCGTGCATCCGATTGACTTGAAACTTAGTATCCACGTAGAAAATACATGTACTTAATGGATAGGCTAATATTTAATGAGTGTTGGACTCCCTACACCAGTTGCGGGGGCGTTAATGATGAGAGTCTTTGTGGAGGTAAGATATAATAATGTTAATTTTAAATGCCCAGCGAAGCGGACAGGTACAGCTAGTTTAGTTATAAAATGACGTATCATTTCAGCTTCCAAACAAAAATGGCCAGTTAGTAAAGACATCCGCTACTGACCCTCGATTTTCAATGCGACTGGCTGGTGCTTACTACTTTCAACAACCTGAATACACACAAATAGGTAGGACGGTGGTACCTACCCATGCGGGCTTAGAGTGCGTCCTATCACTAGTGAGCTGGTATAAATACTCTGCGATCATGTCTGCTCTTCT